TACATTTGCCAGTTTAGATGAAAGTATTAAGTTGCTGGTGAAGATTCTCAGCCATCCAGGTCATAGTCATTCCAAAATTGTTAAAAAACGATCCACTGGACTTTGTTTACAAGTTTGAAAATGTTTTGCTTCCCATCCAGGAAGCTTTTTCAATAAAAAATTTCAAAATTAGCATAGAGTTCAAAGCTTTATATAGTAGCACAAAAACTTGTTTTGCCGGAGAAGACATGCAAATGGAACCTTTAGGAATGGGGTGTCGTTTTGGGTTCCTTGTTGGCCTGCAATACCTGATACTGGTCTATGCCTCTGAAAGGGAGGTCGTTAGTATTAAGTTAGATTTCCTTTTTCTTATACAAAGAATATAAGTCTTAACAGAAAGGATGCTTAACCTAAAATGCAGACAGGAGACACTGAAAAAACTTTTTTCTAGCCAGGGCAAAGATATACAATAAGACCTAACTTATTACATTTCACTTTATTATAAATCTTTTAAATCAAGTAGAAAAAACATCCAAATGGAACCAAGGAAAGTTTTTAGCATAGAGAAGCAAACACCAGTTATCCTACAAGGAACAAACTCTGCACATGACAAACGGCTGGCTGATATTTATGGCATATATATAACCATTTTTTGCTAAGGATATCGGCCGATACCTGCACGCTTCGACTGATTCATTAGTGCATTCAGCAGCCAAGCTCTAAGATCACATGAAGTGCCTGCATTGCTGCTCCGTTTGTTTGCTATCCATCGTTAATGTTTTGTTTGATTTGTTAATGTTTACTTTGTTCAAATTAAGACTTGTGAATAGGTTGTCTAATCATTTCTTATCATTGTCATTTTTATCATGTAAATCAAGAAGATGAAACCAATATCAGCCTAAAGACTCACCCTCAAAAATCAGCAGCACATACCAGGGATCGGTTGGACTGATATTGAATAAATTGGTATCATTGTTAAAGAAGAGTGTATCAGTCGATTTCTAATTTAAACTCACTTATTCATGTTACCATAGTTATTGGTTGAAGTATGAAATTATAGATTAAAAACACTTCAGCTTAACAAAGGAAAACATAAAAACATCACCCTGCACTTGCAAAACAACATAAAAAAACATAAAACTCACTTGCTTTAATGATAGGCTTATTCATTTTCTATATTATTTTTAGAGATTAATATAAATCAGAGGATTGGCCTAATTTACCTCTCTAAAAATGTTTGTAAAATAAAAATAAAAAGATCAGAGAAAAGCAAAATCGATCAAACTGCAGACAGAAAAATCTTTAGTTACCCTCGCCAAGCCAAGCTTTGCTGCTAAAAGTACAGAAAAAAGTCAAAAATATTACAAAGCAGGAAGATGCAGGGAAACAGTGTGACTTAGCTGTTCCTCCAACCATAAGAGAAAGATGTTAAATGAGAAGGCTAATATAACACTTTTAATATTCAACTTAAAATGTGAAACTGGAGCCAAGAAGATTAACCTTAAGGCTCAACTTAACATAGGAAGATAAACTGATAACTTATTAGCCTAAAGTGTCAAACATTGAAAAACACAGTTCCCATTCATTTCTAATCGTTTCCATCACTAGGGGAGTGTTGGTCTAGTGATTAGAGCAGTGCGCTTGTGCTCTGAGAAGATTGCAAGTATCGGGTTTGATCCCCACAGCCTCCACTCTGGGTTCCTGAGCAAGACCCTTCACCCCACACTGCTCCCCGGGGGCCGCACAATGGCATCCCACTGCTCCCCAAGGGGATGGGTTAAATGCAGAGGTACATTTTGACCCATTGATGTTAGATCAATAAAGTTAAACTATTATTAAAAATACAGAAAAAAATCTAATTAACCAAACATTGTTAAACAGAGAACTTTTCATTCCAGCCACTGATTCCAACAATTATCAGATAAGGTATATGAAAAATAACTTACCTACACAAAGTCTTTAATTCAGAAATTCAAAAGATAATTTAAATCTTTACAATATGAGGGTAGACATCACATCTGAAAATAAAGGATAGCAACTTTACAAAGAGCAAAAAAAGAAAAGAAATCTTATCAGAGCGAATTAAGCCAACAGCCTGGCTTGGACAAAACTTTTATAACCCACGTTTTATCTTACTATTTGTTTATTTATCCAGTATTTTAATATAATATATAACTCAATATATTTTGATCACATTTACATTTTGATGCTAAAGGGAAACTCTCTCAAATTAGAAGGCAGACAAAAAGGCACAGTGATCGGGCAAGACATAAAGCTTAGTCATTACAGCAAGGAGGCAAGAAATCTTCAAGCATTTTTTCCTTTTTGGTCTCATATGTAGAAATTTATACATTTCAGAAATGTGAACTAAAACATGAGAGCCTAGCCAGGTAACAGCTGGCTCATCTTGACATAGAGACAGAAATAGTTAGCCTAACACCTTTGAAGTTGGTTATAATGGAAAAACATCACTTTACAATGAACATTTTATTTTAAATAAAGGTTTAACACTGCATGTTTATTTTAAGTTTACATCATACGTTTGATGGAATCTGCTGCCTCAGACATTCACACAATAAATACACAGTTGTGCTGCTGACCCACATTAATGCAGCGGGGCAATGGGATCAGAGGCTGCTGTGTGCCTCGAGATGACAGTGCTGCTTACATCACATCATGTGAGCTTTTCATTAACTGCAATAACAGTGTCAGTCTGTTCAGGGGCTTGTGCATCAGTTACATCACTGCTTTATTGGTGAGGTTTTACACAGGGGCCAAACTATAGGACCAGGGTAGCCCTTCTTCAGCCTAAAATGCTTTTACTAAAGGATGGTTTGAAAATAAGTCACCCCAAAAATGAACCAATTTCTGCCTCTAAAACACCATTTTGTACAAGTAGACTGCCTTAGAAAAACAGCATCCATTACCTATTAACTTGGCAATATGCATTTTGTAGAAAGTTTGAGTGTTTCTGCAAGTTGAACGTTAATAAAAAAAAAAAAAACATGCAAACCTGGAACCAAATTTAACTGCAAAACAATCTAACCTGGCCACACTTTCTCTTGCATAGAAAAATGCTTCAACTTCAAGTGTTTTGAACCCAAAATTTTTTTTTTATACACAGAACTAAACGTTGAATCTGTAAAATTAACAGTGAATCATCTAAACAAAACCGTTAGAGTTAAATCTGCATCAAAAATGGCCTTTTCTTAGGCAGCACATTTGAAATTTCATACTACCCTTGACCCACTAACACCAATGTATCAATAAAAATGTATAGTTTAAGAAAAGCATTTTAGAAAAATATTAGGATTTTATACCAAAAATTGTTCACCTTGTCATTTATGGAAAATAGGGCTGGGCGATATGGAAAAAATACTATATCACGATATGGATTATTTTATATCACGATAACGATATATATCACGATATACCACAACTGATGTTGCATTTTATGTTTTCATAGTCCGTCAGATGGACAGGGTTGAAAAAAATCTTTCATCGCCTATTTTTTACCCATCATCTTGTTTCCTAATATGAGAATCCCAACCCCAAACCAAGAACACCAGTTATGCAATTTGCGGCCATGACAGTGAACAGTATAGAATCTTGGCTATTGCGCTGCAGTAATTAATCATTTAATATTCATTTGTTATTGACATTTTATAAAATTCCAAGGCCAGTTTTTTCTCTTGTCTTTCACTTACCTTGTTTTCCACTAGGAGGCGCCTCGCCTATTTAAGAAGAAATGTGTCTGCACTGGTAATACATTAATTAAAATGCCCACATGTTCTACTGGATAGGAGTGTCAGTGTAGTTAAAAATGTGATCCATCATACGACCTGTACCACAATTATGGGTGTTTCAGTTGTTCTCTTTATTTTTCAGCAGTCACAAGAGAAACGTGCTGCACAGTTTAAAAACATGGAACACAACAGTACTATACAACAAACTATAACAAACAGTACACACTAATACACACAGTATGATTTACTCTAAAGGGGAAAAAGTGAAGGCTACAGCACCTTTGTGTGTAAACACAACACTCACAGGTGCAGTAGCCTTCACTTTTCCCCCCTTCAGAATAAATTATATCAGTGAGGTCCAGTAATGGATGCGTATGCTGTAAAAGCACACAGTTCATTGGTGTAAGCATATTAGTAAAACCAATAATAGTAAAACTAGCGAACGTACAAAAGTGCATAGCAATGTCAGGCTCATACCTTGGGCGAGCATCACTCCGGTGTGGTCCTCAGGAAAGTACACGGTCTGTAGACACCGAGCGCGGAGGGTCCAGTCCGTGATAAGGATGGTGAGACTCATATAAGGCTGTGTTGCTCTACTCATCCACATGTCCGTAGTCAACGCATAATGCGTCGCACCACTGCGTACCTCTCTCTCCACTTCAGCCCGACAACTAGCATATAAGCCAGGCAGCTCCGCTTTAACGGTAAAATCTTCTTGGGTGTCCATCATTAATTTTTTTTCAAGCCAGAAAGAAATTTCACGGGCTCTCTCCATCAGTAATGTCGCAAACGTATGGTGCAAAGCCGCGTGACGTAAAGCGGTGTAGTGTCGCAAAACCACGTTCTCTACACATTATCTTTTTATTCTCTTTTTTTTTTCGTTATATACACTTAGAGTTTGCATAGCAAAAACGCAAAATGTTATATTAACAGATTATATTAAAATGTATATTAGCAGTAATAATAATAAAGAAGTTTATCACGATAGAAAAAATAGAGGAGAAAGGTCACGATAGACATGTTTCTCTCGTCCTCACGATATATATCGCCATATCGCCCAGCTCTAATGGAAAATATGACGAAGCTCAATTTAACAAGGTCAAACTTGGTGCAAAGTCCAATTATTGTCTTGTATTTTAATTTTAATGTCTGTCAAAGAGTATATTAGACACTCATTAAGCTAGCCGATCAAAAACAAAATTTAGTTTTTTTCTTTTGAAAATAAATGGAAAATGTTTTTTGGAAGTCCACAAAAAAAAAAAAGCCACATGAACACCAGGTTAACCAAACGTTTAATGGTATATAAAGGCTCTTGCTTTGAAAAGGTGAATCTCTCAGTATAAAAATAAAAATGTATTAAAACATTTACACAGAACAGTCTGATGCTGTGATCAAAGTGCAGAACATACATTTCTATTCCAGTTCAAGCGGTCTATGACAAGTTCAAACCTGAACTCTCAGCTCCGTCGGCTCTGCCTGGTCATTTTGAGTCAAGGAGCAACAAGAATGCCCTAAACAGCGTTTTAATGTCTCATTTACAAATGTAATATTTCAGGTTAGAATCAGGCAGAATTACCATCGTTCTATAGACTCGTGAGCAGAGTAAAGGACTTTAGATCGAAGATTTAAGCTCAATGTGCAAGAAATATTAATTTAAGCCTTTAAAAACACACTACAGAGCAAAGCAAGCAAAACATACATGTATGGATGCAAGCCTAACGGGTCATAAGCGCAGAGTTTAAAGCGAGAAAACTGCTATAGAGCATGAAAAGAACACACTTGCTTCTTAACCCCAAACTTATGCTTGCATTGCATTCTTTTAAGACAAAAAAAATATCCCACCATGTTACTGTAGCTTACATTTATTGCATCTGAAAACCCAGATGCATCTACAAAGTGGCTAGTGCCTTGAACAGAACAGTATGATCCTTGCAAACATGTTTGTGCGAACACTTTTACATTCATTTGGACAGGCAAGTTTTAAAACTGTGCATGAGCAAAGAACTGCTCCAAGAAAAAAAAAAGAAAAAGAAAAAAAACTTTTCCGGACTCTGAAACCAGAGTCAGAAAATGTCTGGCTTGTTTTGAGTTTAAAATCTTATTACATCCCAAGCTGACTGGCTGAAAGTTGGGAGCGACAAACTGCTGAACAAAAAGAGTTCAAGTGCATTTCCCTTTTCCTCACTTCCAACATAGTTCAACACCCCTCTATCACGGTGCCAGCCGAGGAAGAGTACAGTTTTTTCTTCACCAGTCGGAAGCCTGGACTCAGTTTAAGGACGTGCCTGAAGGTTGGGCCAAAGCAAGAACCCATAAAGAGAAAGTCCCGCAGGCTGGGCCACACCGAACCATCCTGCTTGAACACTAGAGTCAGCTCGAATGTGGGCACTACAGAGGCGTCATAGGCAATGCGCTCCAGCTGTTTGCAGCCCTTCTCCAGCTCCAGGTAGATGTACAGGATGCAGCCTCTCAGGCCACAGGGCTCAGAGGACGCCAGCCAAAGGACCTCACGAGCTATCTTCCTAGTCAGCGTCTCTGGGACCAGCACAGAGGAGCAGTGCAATGTCGTTTTTTTGGCTCGGGACAGGCAGTTTTCAAACATCTTAGCCAACTGATGGCAGCTTCTGTCCTCTGTGACATCAGCAGACACTTGGGGCTCAGCCATGCAGCGATCCCAGAAATCCAGCTCTGCAAAACCCAAATATTGTAAAAATTAAATCATATTTAATGCATCACAGTTAGCCAGTTAAAACATATGCATGCAGCTGTGTAACATAACATTGCATGCTGCATCTCAAAGATGTGTCAAATAAATAAAAAAGGCATAGAATAATCAAGAAAACAGATTACAGAAATGTTCACTTGAAGCATCAGCTGCAGCTTGTTTTGCAGAAAGGGGATGACTTCATCCCCCCTCCTCCACTGCTGCATCCATGCACCACACAGAGACAAACAAGCAGTTGGAAATAATCAACCCCTTCTCCAGCAATAAGCACACAGAGACCCCCCCCCTGCAGGTTTACCTTTCTCGATGCACACGTGGTCGTAGCGCCTTTCAACCAGCTCCGAAATACACTCACCGTTTTTTGCCTTTAATTTACTGGTAGCGACCATTGTGACAGTTTTCATTCATCCAGTGGTGTTAATAAACCTACAAAAATGTAAAAATATTTCAATTAGCCGCTTTATAAAGAGGTAAAACGTTTCAAACTGACGAAATTATTACATTAAAACGTATTACTGCTTTGACAAAATTAGTAGTAATAATAAACTACTCACCTTAGACACGTATAGTGCGAAAAATAAGTTAAGTTTCATAAATAATCACACCCCACGCTCTCTTTCATTCAGCATACGTACCCTCCCATTCAAACACGTTAAACCAGCACCGGTTCGCAGTCTTATTTATACCTTCATCAAGTCAGCTGCTCAGAGGGTTTAACCAATCACGACGCGGCTTACAAATCCAATCCTAAATCATTCCTGATTGGCTAAAAACATCATCTCCCAAGCGCCATCAGAAACTGGCAGAGTAACGATGACTTAAAGATAACTTAGAAATTATGAGGGCAAATGTTATTAAGTATTTATTATTTGTGGTTAAGTTAAACAGTTCGGAAATTATTATTATAATTATTTTATTTTATTTTTTTTCTGGGGGTGTCTTGTTTCCTGTTTTAGTCCTTATTAGTTGGTGGCGGTAATGCACCTTTAACTACATGTAGTTTGCTAACCGCTATAAAACCTCAGAAGAAGAAGAAGAAGACTTTTCGACTTTTAACAGCACTTTATTTACACAATTCAAACATATAAACAATTGACATAAAACAAGTGTCAGTTAAAATCATTACAAAGTTCTCCATCATCTGACACAGTACATGAAATGTTTTTAAAACCTTATGAAAGAAAAAGAAGAAGAAATCGTAGACAAACTCTACAAAACAAAACATATTGTTGCTATGTGTTGCTTTGTATTATAATACTGTTTATTTACAGTTTTTTCATTTTTTTTTTTTTATTATTCTTTTTAATAATTTTGCGCAGCTTTCAGTCAGTTGCGCATGATAGTGACAGATTCTCACCCCTTCCCAGAGGTTGGGGAGATAATTCCCAAAGTTATACTCAAGTAAAAGCAGCACAACTACTTTCTCATATTTTTACTCAAGTAAAAATAAAAAGTATTAATCTAAATAATGACTGAAATAAAAGTTAATTTTGGTGAAAAGGTGATTAAGTAACTGATCATAACATCTAATTTAATGTTTCAAAGATTATGTGAATTTACAAACTACATACAGTTATCTGCATTTTTTTAATCAGATAAAAAAAATAAATGTAAATAACATTTAGTAATTAGACAACTATTTTGGGTGGAAGAAATTGTTAGAAAAAAAATTCTAACAACTTTTGCTATAAAATCTGAATTCATTACTGATAGTATTGTATACACTCACCGGCCACTTTATTAGGTACATCTGTCCAACTGCTCGTTAACACTTAATTTCTAAGCAGCCAATCACATGGCGGCAACTCAGTGCATTTAGGCATGTAGACATGGTCAAGACAATCTCCTGCAGTTCAAACCGAGCACCAGCATGGGGAAGAAAGGTGATTCGAGTGACTTTAACGATGCATGATTGTTGATGCCAGAAGGGCTGGTCTGAGTATTTCAGAAACTGCTGATCTACTGGGATTTTCACGCACAACCATCTCTAGGGTTTACAGAGAATGGTCCGAAAAAGAAAAAACATCCAGTGAGCGGCAGTTCTGTGGGCGGAAATGCCTTGTTGATGCTAGAGGTCAGAGGAGCAACAGTGACTCAAATAACCACCCGTTACAACCAAGGTGGGCAGAAGAGCATCTCAGAACGCACAGTACGTCGAACTTTGAGGCAGATGGGCTACAGCAGCAGAAGACCACACCGGGTGCCACTCCTTTCAGCTAAGAACAGGAAACTGAGGCTACAATTTGCACAAGCTCATCGAAATTGGACAATAGAAGATTGGAAAAACGTTGCCTGGTCTGATGAGTCTCGATTTCTGCTGCGACATTCGGATGGTAGGGTCAGAATTTGGCGTCTACAACATGAAAGCATGGATCCATCCTGCCTTGTATCAACGGTTCAGGCTGGTGGTGGTGGTGTCATGGTGTGGGGAATATTTTCTTGGCACTCTTTGGGCCCCTTGGTACCAATTGAGCATCGTTGCAACACCACAGCCTACCTGAGTATTGTTGCTGACCATGTCCATCCCTTTATGACCACAATGTACCCAACTTCTGATGGCTACTTTCAGCAGGATAATGCGCCATGTCATAAAGCTGGAATCATCTCAGACTGGTTTCTTGAACATGACAATGAGTTCACTGTACTTAAATGGCCTCCACAGTCACCAGATCTCAATCCAATAGAGCATCTTTGGGATGTGGTGGAACGGGAGATTTGCATCATGGATGTGCAGCCGACAAATCTGCGGCAACTGTGTGATGCCATCATGTCAATATGGACTAAACTCCCTGAGGAATGCTTCCAGCACCTTGTTGAATGTATGCCACGAAGAATTGAGGCAGTTCTGAAGGCAAAAGGGGGTCCAACCCGTTACTAGCATGGGGTACCTAATAAAGTGGCCGGTGAGTGTATATAGGTTAGAAAAGGGTTACATAACTTATATTTTCCCTCTTGACCTTCAAATGACAAGACAGGATCAGCAAATAGAAAATAACATTAAAATAAAGAAACTGGAGCCAAAAAAAGGTCTCAGACATTAACTGAAGGTGTGTTTCTCTCATGCATATTTGTATAAAATAGGCCAGACATTTTACACAAATAAGAGTAGCAATAGCTCATCATATATCTGCTCAAGTAAAAATAAAATGCAGGAAAACCACTCCTGAGAGTGAATAAAAAAAAAAAAAAATGTACATAAATAAATTTAATGGAGTAAATGTAACCAGTTATCACTTCTGCTTCTTCCACCAAATTTCAAATTGCAAGGCAAGTTTATTTGCATAGCACAATTCAATACAAGGACAATTTTATTAAACAGTAAAATAGAAGAGATGTAAAAGCAGAGTAAAAGGTAAATTAAGATTGAAACATGATAATGAAACAGTTGGAACACAAATAGTTTTTAAATGACACTTATCTATTCATTTCACAATTTTAAATTTATATTATTGATCTAATGGTGCATATCACCATTTAATGGTATGCTTGATATTTTAATCACATATAAGATAAATAAATAAATGTGACATCTACTTATTTTATTGTACATTTAAGTATTTTATGATATATTTTGGCCCTTCATATACCTGGGGGAGACCAAAACAATGAATGGAAAACCCCAATTGGTATTTGTGCCCCCCTGCTGGTAGGACCAGACCCCTAATTTTGGGAGTCCTGATGTAGATGAAACTATGTTGGCAGGCAGAGAGGAACATCTGGATCTACATGAATGATATTCTGTTCATGTGTTGTTTCTTCGTCTCCAAATACACTATAATGTCCCTACAGAAAGGGGGTTAATGTTTGTTGTAAATACATTTTTTTCTTTTGCACAATGTTTTGAACAAATTAGAAATGCAAATATATATGCAGGAAATGTTTATAAAAAACATAAATATTCAGTATTATGTACTGAAGCTCACTAAATGCAGTAATGTGTAACTTTGCTTTTTTAAATGGCAGAGCAAATATTATATAGGGTTGTCATTTTCAGGTAGTCTCAGAAAGATCTGAATTCTTTGCATTGGTAAACATGACAAAGCCATTTCAAAATCTTGTACATAAACAAGGGTGTCGGGAAATGTCATTTTGATGACATTGACAGTCATTGACAAGAATTTTAACTTTTGAGAAATAAGTTTCCCATTTTGAGTAAGCGACACGCTTTTGCAGGTAATTAACCAGCTTTGAAGTTTTTGCTATTTGATTTGAAAACAGCATTAACTGTTAAAACAATTTAAATATTGATGTAAGAAATAAACCAAAGTGACTGAAGAAGAACTGTAAGTTCGATCTGAATGTTTTGTATTAGTTTCTCATACTATGGTCTTTTTTTAATGGGTCAGTATTTATGGTAGACAGTCAGACAAAGGACACACAGAGGTGGATGGAGAAGGAATCTGCAGCTGAGGCACGGAGGAGCCGAGTTATGAATGGCCTTGAATATCTGAAGAGGGATAGTGTGATATCTGAGCAGGAGTCAGTGAAGCTGCTGAAAGATGAGTGGTGAGGCTGGTCAATGGGTTCCAGAGATGATAAGGCAAAATAAGCCTGTCTGAGGTTTGCAGATGACTTTCTGAGGAAGATCTTTAACCAAAAATATACCCACAAAATGTTTTAAAGAAGCAACCAAGTAAATTTATAAGAAATAAATCTGTAAAGAAACCCCATGAAATTTCTCATGTTCTTCTCTAGTCTGCTCTTATAGGAACTTAGATATTGGTCACCCTTTCTTCAAATACACTTGCTGTATTTAGCCAAGTTTAATGAACAGCTTAACCAAAGCCTTTTTCTGAATAAAAGTCACTGGATGCTCTATTTTAGGATGATTCTTTGAAAAGTAGTATCTGTCTACAGCGTAGACAGATAGAAAAAACATTAATCTGCTTACATTGAACCCAATTCCACAATTTGTATCCCCCATTTCTTTTCTTTTCTAATATTTCTAGGCAGTGATCAGAGGGGAAGGTGGCTCCAATGATACTTTTGCAGAGCAAAGTAGATGAGTATGGTTTTAATATAGGCCTATTTATCTTTTATTCTAGGAAAGAAAAGATCAAAACTTTAGAAGACATTCAGAAAATCCAAGGTCTATTGACAACTTAAAATTGTAGTAAAACTTTGCACTTGGATTAATTTTTCTCTGCAAGTTTAAAGCAAACATAAGCTTTCAGGCTAAGGCTACAGTAAAATGTGTCTGCTCGGTGTCATTAAAGGAATAGTACACCCAAAACATGATTAGCCTTCATTTTCTACTCACCCCCATGCTGAACAACACTCTGGAGTACTTTTTTGATATCTCAAATGCATCTGGAGATCTGGGAGGCTTCTTGCTGTCTGCTGACATTCAAATAATAGAGGTCTATGGTGCCCGAGGCAGAAAGGTCCATAAAAGTCCACAAAAAGCGTGTCAATATTCCTCCATACTGCTCGTCCAATGTATTCCAAGTGTCCTGAGTGGGTAGCATCCAGAATTTACTCAAAACGAAGTCATTTAGAATGTTTTTAGAGCATAAACAGTAGTGTATAGGATTTCCTGAAAGCGCGCACATGCGCGTTCACGACGCTACGGAAGCCGGCAGACCAAACCAGATGAAAGTGCGCATTCAGCGTCTGCTCTGCCAATAATGCAAGCGTAGAAGAAGAAATGTGCCGTTTACCTGTGCAAAGAAAG